GTGTGTGTGCGTGCGTGCGTGCGTGCGTGCGTGCGTGCGTGCGCGCGCGTGCGCGCGTGCGTGCGTGCGTGCGCGCGCGTGCGCGCGTGCGTGCGCGCGTGCGTGGTGCGTGGTGCGTGTGCGTGTGCGTGTGCGTGTGCGTGTGCGTGTGCGTGCGTGTATGTGTGTGTGTGTGAATGTGTGCGTGTGTGTTTGTGTGCTTTCCGCCCGCGGCACATCCCCCATTCGAGGGCGTCCAAGAGAGGGACGTCCGAGAGGGGGTTGCGCAAGTCATGGCCAGAGAAGAAGGGGCCATGAAATCTGGGAGGTAACACGGCCCTGGCTATGATATCCACGCATCCCTAGTCCCCACCCCTCACTTGACCGCCCCCGACCCAGACATGCGGTGCTCTGACCTGTTCAAGAAGCGGTCCCCGAAAGTCCCGACCCCGCCCCAAGGCCGGTTTCTTGTCGCGAGTCGTTTTTCGACGGTCTGAGGGCTGGGGCAGGGCCCTAGTGTCAGAAATGCGTAAAAGACAAACCTGCGTCCTCATATTGCTTCAAGACGTTGGTTGCATGTCTGAGGGCCCAGCCCCCACCCACCCCGGGGCGAGCCCAGGCCCTCCTGGGGAGACCAAAAGGTACCGATACTGATACCGCTACTCCCCGGACCTCTCCCGGGGTGCGTTCTGACCAGGATTTCGAACCGAATCCAGAGGTGGCGACGAGGGCCTCCCAGGAGGCCCGAAACAGAGGAAAACGAGGAAGGGGTCGAGGGATGGGTACCCTTTTCCTCCTCTGAAAAGCCCAGACCTTCCTGCCCGACAGCGCTCCTCACAGCCTCCAGGGCCTCCTGCTGATACGGCCGAAGCGGCGCCCGCTCGGGGGGCTCCGCCGCGCCCGCGCTCCCGGCCGCGCCGCTCGGGCCGGCGTGGCCCTCCTCCGCCCTCGCGCTGGGCCCCTCGGCGCCCTGCGGAGCTGGCGCCACCTGCCCGTCGCAGAGCTGGCCGGAGCCGCGCTCCTGTGCAGGCGAGGGCTCCTCAGGCAGAGCGACGAAATCTAGACACACATACAGCGGAGGCCAGCCCACAAGAGAGCCTTCCACAAGAAGCCCAACCCTGAGACCCCAGGACGTCCGTTGAGCTTTGGTGTGGGATGATGGGCCTGTTTTCCACCACCACCACCACCATTAGTTGGACGGGGGAAGGACGAGGAGGAGGAGGAGGAGGAGGAGGAGGAGGAGGAGGAGGAGGACCCCCTCCCCCTCCAACTTATGGTGGTGGTGGTGGAAAACAGGCCCATCAGCAGAACCATCGAAACCCGAAAAACCCAGGGCACTCTGGAGGCAAGCAGGGCGTCTCTTGGCATGGGTCTCCGCTGTAGCCGCTGCTTCCGGGCCAGGCCCCGCCTGGGCCCAGCAGCGGTGCATCCTCACACAGTCCAGGGCTCGCTGGGGACCGGGCTCCTTGCAAAACAGCCGACGGCCTCCGGAAACCCTCGGAAAACCTTGCGGAAAGGGTTCTGGGAAGCTTTTCGGAGGGTTTCGCCAGGGTTTGGGAAGGGCTTCCTCGTCGTTCTGGGGGGGGAACCAGCCCCTCGCAACTCCTGAGCGTGTACGCCACGCCCTCCTGCCTTGGCCGGGAGGGCGCCTACACTGCTCCTGGGTGCAGGATGGGCCTGGCCGGGCAGGACCAGGCCACTTGGAGCGCTCTTGGGCAGTCTTGGAAGGAAACCCGAAAACATACAGAAACCCGAGGGACAACGACCAAAAAACGGAGGGGAAACCCGAAACACGTCCAAAAACCCGAGGGGAAACGACCAGTCTTGGGGGGGGGGAACCCGAAAAACATGCAAACACGCGCAGGAAAACGGCCAAAAAGGGGCCCGAACCCGGCCAGGCCCGCCCGCGGAGCGCGGAGAGCAGGCGCGCCCCTGGGCCGGCGCAAGGGCCTCACTCGGGCTGGCCGCCGCCCCTTTTGCAGCGACCTCCTCGGAGAAGGCGCGGCTCGAGGAGCCCCGTTCTTGCTCCCCCCTGCGACGTCCGAGGAGGAGGCCGAGGAGGAGGCGGAGGAGGAGGAGGAGGAGGAGGAGGAGGCGGAAGAGGGGGAGGAGGAGGAGGAGGAGAGGAGGAGGAGGGGAGGAGGAGGAGGAGGAGGAGGAGGAGGAGGCAGAGGAAGGAGGAGGAGGAGGAGTAGGAGGAGGAAGGGAAGAGGAGGAGGAGGAGGAGGAGGAGGAGGCGGAGGAGGAGGAGGAGGAGGAGGAGGCGGAAGAGGGGGAGGAGGAGGAGGAGGAAAAAAAGGAGGCGGAGGAGTCGGAGGAGGAGGAGGAGGAGGAGGAGGAGGAGGAGGAGGAGGGGGGTCGAGCCGCCCAGCGTGGGCGAGGCATCGGCGACGTCCCTGTGGGCAAGCTCGTGCTCCAAATCGAGCAGCATATCGCCAATGCGCTGGCGATGCGGCGCGATCCTCCGACCCCGCGTGTTCCGGCCCCGTTTGGTAGGCGTGGGAGAAGCCTGATGCAGGAGGCGGTCTGCGAGATCCAGATCCCCGACGTCGTGTTTTTTTCATGTCGTCGACCCCCAGAGGTCTGGACCCCTTCCCCAGGACCGGTTTTTCATCCTGAAGCGATTTTCAACGGTCCCGAGGCCCGGGAAGGGCCCTTGGAGGCTGAAAATAGCGAAAAACCTCCCGTAGTGATTCTTTCACAACGCGAGGGGGACTGGGGACTGAGGGTAGAAGCAGTCAGTACTCATCGAAGCGGGGAATCGGATCGAACCAAAACGTGCGTCGGATATCGTGCCGGGTCGGCGCGGAAAGCCATAATATCAAATCGAAGATCGGCCGCGCCCAGATATGCACCACAACAAGGCCATGCAAGCACCAAGCCGCGCCGGATACATCGTCGGAATCTCAGATCTGCGCCACGCTGATGGGTATATACTTCAATACGACTACCTACCAGACCACCGCAACCCAACCCGAAGACCCAAGTTTCGGGTTGGGGGGGCATGGGTTACAGGTATGTTTATTACATGTTCCCCGACGCACCCCCACTGGAAATGAAGAGCAAATTGGAGCCTTCGGGTTGGGTTTGGGTGGCTTGGTGGGCGGTGACAAAAAACGGGGACGTTGGTCGGTGCACGAAACTGACGGTTTCCTGCGCCCGCCCGTGCGAAAGTGGCCCTTTCCTGCCACCCTCTGGCCACTTTCCTGCACCTTCCTGCGCGCTACCGAAATACCCGTTGCTGAAAACCCGTCTCGGTGGCGCTGATCAGAACTGAACGAGACCGGGCCAGCCAGAATCGATATCCGGTCGTGTCGATCGGACCGAGATCGGCCCTGGAGGAGGCACTCGATGTTCGGGCCCCACCTCGGGTCTCCGGCAGCCGTTCGGGACAAGCCGAGCACCCCTGGAGCGATCTCGGCGAGGCGCAGCCGCTGGAACGCATCCCGAGGCTAGAGGGCCTCCATGAACCGACGAGAAACGTTTCGGTGGCAACGCATGGGAGCATCCCGTACCATGTTGTCGGCTATTGCGAATCGACGCTAGTCGACGCTAAATCGACGCTAATCGACGCTAAATCGACGCTAATCGACGCTAACCGACGCTACATCGGCGCTATCTCATCGACTCCTCGACGTTGATCGACTCTAGTCGACGCTAAAGGCGGAGCTACGCGGGTACACAAGGCTGCCAGGATTTGCTCGGAAAAGCATCCGAATACGTTTGAGCCGACCATCGGGACGAAGCGGTGCAGGGCGTGCGGGCTGGCATTCATGACTACCTACCAGGCCACCCCAACCTAACCCGAAGACCCGCACTTCGGGCTAGGGGGGGGTACGGATTCCACACGTGTTTTTGTCGATGTTCCCCGATACCCCCCCATCGGCGGTGGACAAACCTCCCTTTAATAAACCACCCTTTTGCGAAAACGGCCTAAGACCGAAACCGACGGACCTGGACCCGCAGAAATCACGGCCGCGGCGCCCTCTCGCGGACCGAAAACGGCCAATTCGCTAATCGACGCGTCAGGGTAGGAGGTCGATCAACCTCCGACCCCACTGGGAATGGATGGCAAATTGGAGCCTTCGGGAGGAGGAGGAGGAGGAGGAGGAGGAGGAGGAGGTGGTTTGGTGGGTGGCGAGTTCACCCCCGGGTGGCCTCCGGCCCCGCGCCGCGCACCCAGCGCGCCCAGGCCTCGCTTTGTGTTTACACGCGGGCTGCGGGCCGTGGAGGGTGGCGGGTCCGGGGACCAGAGAGCCGTCCACCTGGCCATCGGCCAGACGTCCATGCCCCGTGCATTCTCAGGTTTCGTGCGTGCTTTTCATTGTGAATATTCTTGTAGGATTATTATTATTATTATTATCATTATTTTTATTATTATTATTATTATTATTATTATTATTATTATTACTATTATTATTATTATCATTAGTACCAGTATTACTATTTTATGTTTGTGCTGCATGTTATTCTTTCTTTTTAGAAGATGATCTACGACGTTCCAGGATGGTCCAGATTTTCACGGGGAGTACGTCGACCCCTTTCTCCCATGCTTCGCGGTGCTTTCGAAAGGGCCAAGGAAGACTTGGGGCCCGACCCTGGGATCTACGATGGGGGGGGCGTCCGAGCTTTGGAGGCCTGGAAATTGGCACCAACACCAGCATAGGGGGTTTGCCTCCACATGGGGAAGATGGTCCAAATTTGGGTGTTGGTGGTAATAGTTCGGTCACCTTGGAAGCCAGAATCTTACCACCATCACCGAGATCGGGATCGTCTTCCCTCGGTGGATGCACACCGCCGATCTTTGTGTTGGTGTCAACCTGCAGGCCCGCGAGAGTAGCTCTGCTGGGGCGTATCCCAAGGGTTCCCCCTGTATGAGCGGCCAAACCTTTCGGGCGGAGCCCCTGGGGGAGAGGGGGGGTAACCTCGCCTGCGAGAGCTTCTGCCGCTGGCCTCGCCGAGGCCAACGCACGAGCCGGAGCGATGCCAAGCCACGGCTTGAGCAGGGACCGACCGCCCCGGCATTCCTATAGTCCTACCACGAAGTGTTCTCAGAACCCAAAAATGTTCTAAGAACAAGATCAATATTCTTAGAACATAAACCCGATGTGTTAAAACAAGACTATCTCAACCAGAAATGTTCCAGGAACATTTCGTAGAAAACCCAAGAGGTTCTTAGAACATTGTTTGGTAGGACTATAGGCAAGCCAGGACGCTTCGCCACTGCTTGAACGGCGACTCCAAGACCGGCCGACCCGACCGCGAAGCCGACAGCGAAGCCGAGGACGAGCCGCAGCGGAAGCGCGGCCGAGGAGCCCAGAGCGGCCCGCAGCGACGACGTCCGCGACGGACCGACCGAGAACCGAAGCGACCGAGCGCCACCGACTTGAGGCGCAGGCGAGAGCCGACCGAGGGCCGTGGGCACTCCTGCAGGGCTCGAGTTAAACAGTGTTTTCCGTTTTCGTTTTGTTTTCGTCATCCCTAGCTCTGTCTTCGTTCCACGTGTGCTGCAAAACGAAGTCAAAACGAAAACGGTCCACGAAAGTGCCAAAACACCGTTTAGCTCGAGCCCTGCACTCCTGCGGACCCCAGGGCCGTGCTCCCGACCCCCCCAGGAGAAGTGACGCAGCCACGTTGTCCATTCCTTGCCCCTCCTCCTCCTCCTCCTCCTCCTCATCTTCCTCCTCCTCCTCCTCTTCCTCTTCCTCCTTCTCCTCCTCCCCAAGGCCCCCCAGACCCCCGAGTTCAATGCTGAGGCAGCTGCGGCCGACGGCGGGAAAAGCGGCAAATATCGCGGCGCCCCGCGCCAGCGTGGAGATCGAGGGGCGCGGGGAGACGCACCGCGCGCGAGGGTGGCATCAGTTCTACAGGGCAATGCAGTAGCAGTTCCCCTGGCACTTGTTTCTTTATTTGCGAGCCTGGGGTCCCGGTAGGGCCCCTGGGAGCCCGTAAACGTCGAACAGGACATCAGCCAGCGAGCCGACGTCACAAACAAACATGCAGCATCGTAGAACTCAACTGGAGACCTGCACCCCCGTCTCGGCCACACGTAAGAGTGACCCTAGGCAAGAGTGGCCTTTGATGCGCGACGTTCGAGAGCCGCGGGGAGGCCGCTGCTATCGCATCGCATTCAACCATCTGGGGACCCCAGTGTGCCCGCACCAGGGGTCACGCAAACGAAAGGTCACTCTTAGGTATAGCCGACCGTTTTTCTGCCACATGTTCCCAGCCCGTCCTGGAGCGTCCCAAAACGCAGCAAATCCTAAGGAAAACCCATGGAGCATGGATTCGCAGGCATGTCTTGCAGGGGTCATGGCCCGTTTCTCGAGGCGGATCCCGTGGCGACGGGAGGCCTCCGGGAGGCCATCTTGGAGGCCCGAAACAGGGCAGAATCCCCCGTTGCGTCTAGGTCGCGACGCCAGGACCGCGGTGAACGGTGGCAGAACAGCGACTTGCTGCGCGGGCCACGACCAGCGACAGCGGCCGTGGTTCCCGCAGTGGCGGTGTGGTGTCCGAAGCTCTTCCAGGTTGGCTGGCTACAGAGGCCCTGCTGGGGCCACCGTCCTAGCGGGGGGGGTCTGAAACCAGGGGGGGGGGCCGCGGGAACCACGCCTCAGGTAGGTTTGGGCGCTACGCCGCTGCCTTTGGCTGCTACCCGCGTCTTTTCCTCTTCCTCTTCTCCTCCTCCTCCTCCTCCTCCTCCTCCTCTTCCGCCTCGTCTTCCTCTTCCTCCTCCTCTCCTCCTCCTCCTTCGCCTCCTCCTCTTCCTCCTCCTCCTCCTCCTCCTCCTTCCTCACCTCGTCCTCCTCCTCCTTCCCCTCCTCCTCCTCTCTCCTCCTCCTCCTCCCCTCTTCTCCTCCTCCTCCCCCCGCCTCCGCCTCCTCCTCTCTCCTCTCCTCCTCCTTCCTCCTCCTCCTCTCCTCCTCCTCCTCCTCCTCCTCTCCTCCTCTCCTCCTCCCTCCTCCTCCTCCTCCTCCTCATCCCCCTCCTCCTCTCCTCCCCTTCCTCATCCTCCTCCTCCTCCTCCTCCTCCTCCTCCTCCTCCTCCTCCTCCTCCCCCTCCTCCTCCTCCTCCTCCTCTTCCCCGTCCTCCTCCCCATGAGCGCCAAGACCCGCTGCCCTCTCAAACCTCGCTTGTTTCGCGCAACGGGCCTCGCGCTCGATGGCCGAGATTCGGGCCTGGTGCGCGGCGCCGACCTCCCGCAGCGCGTCCGCGGGCGTGGCGAATGCGGCGCGGGCGCCGACGGCGCCCCGCTGCAGGGCGGCCCAGAGGCCCACGCTCGCCCGCATGGCCTCGGCAGCGGCCAGCTTCGCATCGACCCACGGATTCATGGGCATCGAAATCTGTTCGCAATGGGCGACTTTGCCTGGGCTCGGGCCCCGGGGCCCTGACGGATCGATCCGGCTCGGAAATGTGGCGTGGGAAGATGGGGCCTAGGGCTCTGGTCGAGTTCTTACACGGGGTTGCAATTTTTCCGCGACGTCAGATCCAAGGGCCGAGTCAGGGATCGACTACAGGACTGATATGTTCGTCGAATCCATGAGACATGCGTAGACTGTTCGTATATGCACAAACGTTCCACGTATGATTCGACGTTGTTCTGGGGAACATCAGTTCTGTAGTCGATCCCCTACTCGAAAAGGGAGGAATCGGATCGGATCTTGAATCCTGCATCGGATCGGGCCGCGCCGGCGCGGGGCCGCAGTCGAACCGGACATCGGCCACGCCAGGGTGCGCCAGAGCGCCACGCAGGCGCAGGGCCGCATCGCATCGTCGATGTGTCCACGAGGAAGGACACACTGTATAAACCTTAAATGTCAGAGGTCCGCGCGAAGATCTTGGATCCGCGCTGGACCCCCTCTCCTGGCGCGCGGAGCGCGCCTTGAAAGGCAGCTACTCATGGACAGCCTGGGATGCCAGGAAAAGCACATCAGATTGCGCGAAACATGTAACAACATTCAGTGTTGTGAAATGTGTGAACAAAAGTCCCCGCTGTGTAATCACTCAGAAAGCGCTCGCTGGAGTAGCGAAGTGGCATGCGGCGAACGCGAAACGCAACTGCGCGCGCCCGCCTAGGGGTGATCCACTCCGGACAGCTCGAACGCAACTCGCAAACCCGCCGAAGCTGCACATTTCCGACGCCGCATCTGCGACTGCAGCGCCGGCGGCGACGCGGCGGAAGGGTGACAAGAGGGCAGAAACAGCCGCGCAGCCGCCGACAGGAACGACGGCGCCAGGAAAACGCTGACGGAGCCGATGAAACCCGCGCACGAGGAGAAGGGGAAGGGGCAGGCGTGCGACATCGCCTGGAGAATAGCACTGGGCGACGAGGGGGTGCAGAAAACGGAAAGGGGGGCGACAAGAACTTGAATGGGGGCGGCGGCTAGAACAGCCTCGATGGGGCCGCTGAGAAAGGGCCCTTGCAACGAGGGGGGCAGGGCGATGAGGCGGAGCAAAACCAATGAAGGCGGGCCCTGGCCGCGCGAAGCTACAGGCCGACTCGCCGCTGCAAAAGGCCACGGGCCACCCAACATTCCTGCGACCAAAACTTTCATATGGCTAATGTACCATCATCGCGCGAAAGCTGATGGCAAAACAACCTGCATGCCCCCGCGCACTGATGACGTCGAAGGCACGCCGCCGCGGCCCGCGCGGCTGCCGCCGCTGCGACTTGCGAGTAAGCCAGCAAAAACGCCCCCCAGACTGCCGCCGACGACGTTGCCCCCCACCCCCCTCCCTCCCAAACCCACCCTCCCCCTCCGATCGCGCCCCCCCCCCTTCCCCCTCGCGCGCTTTTCATCCTGCCCACCGCCCTCTCAATTTAACCCCGTTGCTCCCCCTGGCCGTCTGCACCGCGACCCCCCACGGCGACCCCAATCCACGGCGCCGCTCGCATCCAGCCCAGCCCGCGCCGATTGCGCCGGCGCCGCGGGCAGCACCTTCGAGGGCCCCCAAAATTGTTGCTAGATAGCCACCGCGACCCAAGGCGGCGCAAGATACCCTCCAGGCTCCGCACCCGACGCAGACACGATCGCCGTGGGGTCTCGATCGGCGCGGCCCCCGGGCGGCCGCGATTTGTCGAGGTGCGTTCGAGGTGCCCCAATCGAAATACACACAACCAAAAAAAAAACTAAAACAAAGTAGGCCCCGCATTCGCAATTCCTGGGGGAATTTGGTGCGCCGATTTGAAACAAGTAGAAATTAGGCGGCCGAAATGGGCGAGACGCCCACCGATTCCGCGCGCGTGCTTATTGAATCTCTTCGTCCATGTGTTGTAATTGTTCCACCTAAAAACTACAAACAAATATAAGAAAAAAATGGCCAGGGAGGCGCCATTTGTTACCAACGATGCACAATACATGCGCGAAAATATGCCCGCCCCGATCGGTGAAAACGCAAAAAAACAACCAACAAAAACATGCGCGCGAAATGACCTGTTCCCCGGGGCAGCCGGCGGGGGCAAAGTGGAATGGCGCGAGGCCCCCGGGAGGCCCGCGACGGAATGCGGGTGCCCCATGGAGCCTTGCCCTCCCCCTGTCCCATGCGCCCTTGGGATGAGAGCCCGGCCGCCTCCCGGAGCCAGGCGGGCGAGGGGGCGGGCGCCAGGCGAGGGGCGCAGCCGCGCGGCTCAGCAGACGACGTCTGCGCCGCGCCACCCCCGCGGCAACGTAACCAAGAAATTTCGCCGACATGGCGGTGCCTCAATGGCAATGACCGTCCGAAAAAATGCCGTGGTCCCGAAAATGGCTGTAGCCGTCGCCCCTGATGGGGATTCCACCGGAACCCCGACGGCGGCAGCCGCGCGCGGTGCTCGCAGGCCCCTATGCATTTGCCCAACCGAAAGCCGCAGCGGCAGAGGCTGCGCGCCTTACTTGCACACCCCTCGCGCGCTTCGTGGCCCCACAGGCGACTTCGTCGAGGCCGCGGTAGCAGCGGCCGCGCGCGGCACTTGCACTCCCCAGACTCCACCAAAGGCCCCAGCGGCATCAGCGGCGCGCAGCACTTGCGCACCCCATCGCGCGTTCGATGGCCCGAATACGGAAGCCCACCAAAGATCCCAGCGTCAGCGGCCGCGCGCGCGCCCATGGGGACCCCCACCAAAGGCCCCGGAGGGGGCGGCCGCGCGCAGCACCTACAGAACCCTCGCGCAGTTCGCGGCTCGACGGGGGACCCCGCCGAAGGCCCTAGCGGCAGCGGTCGGGCGCGTGGCCCCGCAGGAAGCCCCGCTGAAAGCCCCGACCCCGCTGGCACCGCTCGCGCGGCGGCCCTGGTTCATTTCGGCTCGCCTCTGTCGCGCGCCCCCTGGCCCCCACAGAAATTCCACCAGAAACGGATCAGAACAGCAGATGGGCGGGCCCTTCGCCAATAATTTGTCTGACGCGCACGGGCGACGCCAGGCACCGCGCCGCGCCAATTCATGGCGCGCCCCCGCGGCGAGACACCCCAAAACCGAACCATGAAAGCCGATCCCGTGCCCCGCTGCAGGACGCATGATCGCCATGACAATCGGCTTCCCCGGCAAGGCACTCGCTGCGCGCCGCATTCACCGCTTGCGCTTGAACGCCTACACCTTATAACATAATGTGATTTAACGTACATGTGTCAAAGATGTGGTTGTTCACATATTTCCCTAACCTATGTTACGGCCAGTTTGGAATTATCCCACATACCAGCACCTCTCAATCTTACCTTGTTGTAAAAGCGCGCCAAGGGCGGCGCCGGAGACGCCGCCAGGGGGGCCCAGCGCCGACCCGAGAAATCCGCGCGGAACTCCAAACATTTGTGCGTGCACCTGTTCGTCTTCCTCCAATCGCATCGTCGGTGTATCGGAGCTGGATCGGATCGGGCCAGCCAACACAGATCCGTATCGGATCGGATCGATCGGATCGATATGACCCCGCAATGCCTCCACCAGCACGCGCACCGCGGCAGTGGGCGCGTGCGCCAGCACCGCCGCATTGGCCTTGAAAGGAGGAGACAGGAATTAGATGCCTCCCAGATGGGGTCCGAGCAGATGAGGTCGGAGGATCGTGCCGCATCGCCGATGCATCCCCGATGCATCGGCATGTCAACGATGCATCGGCGCCGCCTGTGGAGGAAACCGGGCTCCACATCGAGTCGTTTCGGCGATGCATCGGCGATGCGGCGCGATCCTCCGACCCCATCTGCTCGGACCCCATCTGCGAGGCTCAGATCCTAAGGATGAGCGGCAAGCATGCGTTTCCAAGACCTCCTCGCGTCGTGAACAGGAACGCGGCGGCTGGCTGTCTTTAGCACTCGTTCTATACCCCTGTGGGGGAGGGGGCCACTGAGCCCTGGTGCCGTGACACAACTGCTCGGGGTGAAAAGCCAGTGCCGGGGAGGGCCCAGACCTCTGGCTGGGGACTCACACTGCGTAACAGTTACGGCGTCGAAAGTCTGGGTGATGCAAAGCCCTTGCCATCGCTCGGATGTGCACTCCCCGTGCATTTGTTGGTTTCGTGCATGCTTGTTCTGCCAGATGATCAGATGATCCAGGATGCTACTCGATGGTCCTCGCCGAGAACAACTGCACACGTCCGAGCGATGCCAAGAGCCTCTGGACGTCCAAATCGAGGCCGAGCTCGGAGGCTGGATGTCGGCAGAGGGGCAAGGGCGCAAGGGGCGCCCTCGCAAAAGTACCCATCCTTACGGTGCCGTTGTTCGTAGACTTGGGGCGCGAATCACTGGGGAGGGCGGGGGAAAGAACGGTGCCCTTCTCGGGCCCCAAAGGCACCCCTTGGGGCCCTCAAGGACCCCTCTTCTGCAGCCCTCGCTGCCCCCCCCCATTCGTCGCCTCCCCACTTACGCGCCCCTCCCCCCCCCCCCCCCCAAAGGCATGCGCTTCTGGAGGTCTGGGCGGCCCTCTTGCCTCGGCGCTGGAGGCATGTGGTGGCGCCTCGCGCGCCACGTCGGCGAGGGGGGGGGGGGGCAGGCAGAGGCGCGGAGTAGTGGATCAGGAGGGGGGGGGGGGACGATGCGTTGGCCTCGGCGCTGGATCGCCGATCGATCGGCGACAGACTCTCGAGCGCAGGCGGCGCCAGGCCCTCGACAGCAGACGCGAGCGCCCCCCCCAGGGGCAGGCCGGGACGCCCGGGCCCCGAGCGGCGACGAAAGACTCGGCGCTCGGGGGTCGATGCTTCCCGCCCTGGGCCAATCCCAGAGGGGGAGGAGGAGGGGGAGGAGGAGGAGGAGGAGGAGGAGGAGGAGGAGGAGAGGAGAAAGAGGAGGATGAAGAGGAGGAGGAGGAGGAGGAGGAGGAGGGGGAGGGGGAGGAGGGGGAGGGGGGGAGAGGGGGACGAGGAGGAGGAGAGGAGGAGGCGGAGGAGGAGGAGGGGGAGGAGGAGGGAGGAGGAGGAGGAGGAGGAGGAGGAGGTGGAGGAGGGGGGGGATCGAGCACCGATGCAACAGATCCGCGCGAACCTCCGGAAGTCTGCGCGCTCCCGTGCCGCTTGCCTCGTCCTTCCCGGACCTGCGACGTCGTGCTCTTCCCCGCAGTGTCAGAGCCATGGGAAACCGACACCAACACCGCCGGGGACCACCAGCGGGAGGAGCCAGGGAGGGGTCCCCCTGGTGGTGTGGCTCCCCCTCTCGCTCGAGACATCCCCCCTATCTTCAGCTCGGGGATAGGCATCGTGGACCTCCTCGCTGGAGGTAGCCCCCTGGGTGGTCTTGGTGTCGTTCACCCTTCCCCCCCCCCACAGGTGGACCCTCCGAGACCCTGGACCTTATCCCAAGGACGGGCTTTTCATGCTGCGTCGCTTCTCCTTCGGCCCCGGGGCCCGGCGCACGGTCTGCGGGAAGGTGGCGAAAAAAACTCCCGTCGCGCTTTTGTTTCGCGACGCGAGGGGGGTGGGGGTCTGGGGTCCACCGTCGCGTCTGCACCCCTCCAGAGGGGCGCCTTCTAACCAGAATCTCGAAGAGAAACCAGCCCGTGGCGACGAGAGGCCGCCATGCCAGAAGACGAGGGACGAACACAACGGCGTGAGCATTAACTTCCGGAGGTCCGCGGGTATTTCTCAGATCGGCTCTGGACCCCCTCTTCCTGGCGCGCTTAGCGCGCGAGTGGCGGCGCGGGAGGCACCGCCAGCGGGGCCTAGCTTAGATACGGTGTGGGCATTGGATAAGGAATCCAGGGTCTGGAAGCCGCTTGAACCCCCGTCGTGGACTTGACATGGACATCACTGCCGCCCTCATCAGGCAACGCAAGGTCTGAAGCCTCCTGAACACACTCCTTGACCAACGCCCCCACCGTATGAGAAGTCCGCGCGGAGCTCCGATTGGCAATAAAAGGACCCCAAAACCTTTGGGAAGGGAGCTAAGTCAAGAAGGCCCACAGCGTTCGAAACAGGGGGTCTTTTCGGCAGATGCCTCAGACCAGACCGCCCAGATGTAGCATCCCTGATGCGCAAAGACGGGGGCCTGAGTGAGGCCACTTCTCCACCGTGCTGTGAGGCCTGGGGGTTCTCCCGCTCTCGATGATGCGCTGCTCCTCCGCGTCCGAGGGGGGGCGAGGGGGACCGCTGTCCCCCTGGTCTCGCCCGCCCGCCCCCTGGGCCTTCCGCCCGCTTCCCCTGTGGGGGCAGGGCCGCGCCCCAGCCTCGCGTCTGCTGGCCTTCGGGCCTTCGGGGGCACGGCCAGAGGCCCCCGATGCCGGCGGTGCGCACAAGGGGGGGGGGGGAAGGGGGGGGGGACAGGGCCCCTCGGGGGGAGGCTGCTTCTCAGAGGGCGCCCGCGACTCGCATCTACAGATGAGGCCCGCGCCTCCCAAGAGACAGGGGTGCTTCTGAGAAGCCCTCTCCCCCCCCGCTGAGCATGGCGGACGAAGGCTGGGACGGAGGGAGAGCGATGGGACTGAACAAAAGCAGATCGTCCGAGCGAGGAGGCGGAGGAGGAGGAGGAGGAGCTAGGAGGAGCTAGGAGGAGGAGGAGGAGGGGGAGGAGGATGAGGGGGAGGAGGGGAGCTAGGAGGAGGAGCTAGGAGGAGGAGGGAGGAGGAGGAGGAGCTAGGAGGAGCTAGGAGGAGGAGGAGGAGGAGGAGGAGGAGGAGGGGGAGGAGGAGGAGGAGGGGGAGGAGGAGGAGGAGGAGGGGGAGGAGGAGGAGGAGGAGGAGGAGGGGTCGCCCATGCAGGCCCTTCGGAGAAACCCTCCTCGGGGACCAAGGGCCCCCGACGGCCGAGACGGAGGGGAGGACGGACGGGTGGGGGGCGGACCCGGATCGGAACGCCCGAGGAAGCCTGCGCTCCGCGGCCCAGGGCCCCGGGCCCTGGGCCCTCGGCGCTCGGCGCTCGACCATCTCGACCCTCTCGACCCTCTCGACCCTCTCGACCCTCTCGACCCTCTCGACCCTCTCGACCCTCTCGACCCTCTCGACCCGCTCGACCCCCTCGACCCTCTCGACCCTCTCGACCCTCTCGACCCTCGCCCTTCTCGACCTTCTCGGCCCTCGATCTTCGAGGGAAGCCTAGAACATTGGATGCAGGATTTTTCGGTCGCGATCAGCAGCGACCGATCGGCACTCCCAAGTCGGTCGCGTCCGATCGCGACCGATTCCAAAACCGGTCGCGGCCGATGCCCCATTCTGAAACAAAAACGGTGGCGACAGATCTAGCCAGTCGCGACCAGAAAATTCTGGCTGGCATCATCGCAACACCGCGACAGCGCACAACATCACGACTGGAGCCCTGGACCTCATCATCCTGCGTAGCTGTTCGAGCCCGATCGACCTGCGAGGGTCCGGGGGCCCGAAACAATGCAGAATCGCCCGTCGCGAAGAAATGCGGCGCCAGGATCTCAGGGCTCGAGAGGGGCGGCGGGGGAGGTGGCGAGGGAGAAAGAGAAGGGGGGGACCCGCTCGGGGACGGAGGCATCGAGCTTGCATCGGCGATGCATTGCCGACAGATCGGCGAGACGACCCTCGATTGCGAAACTAGAGGACAGAGAATTCAACCCCCAGAGTGATCACCCCGACGAGCGAAGCCGATTCGCAAACGCACCAAAATGAGGAATCGAACAGGGCAGGGCTGTTTATGAGCATCGTTTATCCGACCCCCATCCCCAGCGGCGTGGCCTGGGCCCCACTGGTCGATCTACCCCCCTAGATGGGGATACAGGCCGTTCCCTTAGGGTTTCGAGGGTGCATCCCCAACTGGGGCGGTAATTTGGTGGGGGTCCCGAAGGGGATGATGATGGGGATGGGGGTCGGTTCAACGATACTGCGTGCAGTGAAGACCCAGGGCCGCGTTGTGAGCGCCAATTGTCGGGGTCTGAGTCGTTTTTGTCCTCCCTTGAGGAAGCCCACGTTCCTAGGCGGGGTGGACCTGCCAGGCCCTCCCCCGCGGCGATGACTGGGCGAGTGGGGGGCCATGCGTCCCCCCTCTCAGCCTCTCCTTCGGTCGGGCATGTCCTCCTACAGGCGGGTGTTGGGAGAAAATGAGCACAAGCAAACAGTATTCAAACATAGCCCACACAGAATCGAAACATCGCCCCCAGACCATGACCTTAGTGTTCTTGAGTGTCCCTCCTGTACAGGGAAGTGCCTGACTTCGGCCTGTCCCCCCCATGTTGCCCCCTGGCTTTCGGGTCATGACCAGGCTCCCCAAGCGGCCGCTCGGGACGACCCCGGGCACCCCCCGAATATGCTTTTGACGAAGCGCAGCGCTACTGGAGCCCGAGGCTGGAGAACCGCCGCGAACCGACGAAAACGCAGAGGCTCGAGCAGGATGCAACACCAAGAGGAGGAGGAGGAGGAGGAGGAGGAGGAGGAGGAGGAGGAGGAGGAGGAGGAGGAGGAGGAGCAGGAGCAGGAGCAGGAGCAGGAGAAGGAGCAGGAGCAGGAGCAGGAGCAGGAGGAGGAGGCGCGGACAGCCTGGCGAAACCGCGGGTCGGGACCGCAAGACAGATATGAGAAAATTAGGCTCGCGGCTCTACGCGGTCGTCGCTCTCGTGCGGCTTACAACAACACACGCACACTCAGACATT